TTATATTTATTATATTTATTCTTACCTTCATAAATTTTGTACAATTTCTTGCAGCCATTTCCCAATGCTTTTGAGCTAGTATAGGTGGGATCAGCATTTTTAATGTCTTATTTACCTCTTCAAGTATAGCATCTAATCCCTGATGTTGATTTGACCTTCCTGATCGTGCTACAACAAAATTACATTCGATAATTTGACGAATCTCAGGATGAAGACGCATTAATTGTTCTTCATCAGCTACTTCAATTGCTTGGTAAATGGGATGCTGTTTTGCAGATCAGATAGGAGCAAACATTCTACGTGCTACCGATTTAAGCAGAGGTTGATTATATCTAACACCGGTATGAAAGTTTATAATTGCTTGTAGGTACCAAAAGATCTAGGCATAATCTAATATTAGTAATTGAAATTTAAATTTAAATATTTATTACTAAATATCTGTTCATATTTTAATTTATATAGTTCATTTTTTTGATTTTTAGCCCAATCAAGAAAACCGTTAACAGATGGATTAGAGACTGAAGCAACATATGGCCAAACCAATTCCATTGTCATTGCATGCCAGTAAATATTGTATACCGAATCCCATGCTTTATGGTGATCAGCACATTTTTTAAAATAACCTAACTGATTTTTGGTTCTATATCCTTGGCATTATGCGAAATCTCGTAAGTTGATATTCCTGCGATATAACGAAATCAGTTATATTGGTCAGTAATTTAATAATTAATTATTAAGTGGGATGGTGAATTTTTTACTATATTGTTACTAATATAGGTTTCTTTTTTTTGTTACCAATTCAATTCCACAAAAGCTTTTAACATATTTATTTTTTCATGAAGTGGACCAGGCAACAAAATAATTCTTGAATATTCAGATTTAAATTTTTGTGCATAATGGTAAGGAAGTCTGTCACAAACTACTACAATCCATCTTTGATTGCCATTATTAACTCTACTAATATTTTGAATATAATCAAAAATTTTGCGAACATTATCAACAGAATTTGGATTAATTGGTAAAGAATCGGGTACAAAAACATCAGGTATTTTAACACCATCTTGAGGTTCCAAATTTTGTGTTATACTTATTGAACTTGTAGATTCATCCGATTTACCTGATTTACTTTCTTTAGGTTGATAGGGTCTAAAAGTTAATAGCTTAATTGAGTCTTTCTCTTTCTTATCGGATATGGTTTGCTCTTTTTCTTGTTGAGTTTCAGCGAGTATAGGAAGTTTTGCATGACATTGAGGACATTTACACTTAGAGTTTTCAATATCTTTTTTACTACAATCATAACATTGTTTTTGATTTTTTGTTTTAGCACTTTGATTAGTTATTAAATCGTCAATAACATTTATTTCTTCATTTTTTTCTGTATATAATTCAGTTATAATAGACGAAAGATAATTGTGAAGCTAACGATCAAGCAATGCTTGCATTTCTAGAGTAAGGCCAAATAATTCTTTGATTTAGGATATATTAAGATTTTGATATAGCCAAGGGTTTTCGAAATTTTGTATTTGATTAGTAGGATCGAAGTTAAATAAAACAAACTAGTGACCGTATAAAAGATCACTTTATTATATCCATGATCTAAATAATTTTTTTGGCCTTTTGTTCATTATCAAATGCCATAAATACCAACCCATTTGGAAATGGTTCCGAATTACCCGCTAAAGTTTCTTGCCAATTAATAAATTTGGTAAAACCACCAGTATTTATAATATGGCTATTGATATCAATTATCGTTTTGGACTTTGCTATAGAGTATTTTATTGCCGATAGTGCTAAATTAATCGAAGACACATATTTTAAATATCTTATTCTGTATATATTATCTATTGCTACAGCACATTTAAAAAGTTTTTCTCCTTCGTAATGGTCTTCATTTTTATTATGCGTAAGAGTTTTTATAAATTCTACTACAACTGGATTACGCATCATAAGCTATTGAGATGGGAAATAATTTAAGAGACTATTTAAACAAAAGTACTCACAGTTATTTATTAATTTAATGACATCATCATACAAGGCAATTTGTTTTCGTTTGGCAATTTCTACAACGGCTTTAACATGCTCTTGTTGGTTATCGTATTTATTATTTAATTTTTTTTTTAACAAATTATTTTCAAGTAGTAATTGTTGATTTAAATGTTCTAATTCATTAATTTTTTTAATAAGACTTTCATATTCGGGATTCGGTAACGAAACTTGGATTCCAAAATCACAAGAATGTTCAGATAACGATACTTGAATCCCAGAATTATAAAAATTTATTTCATTATCAGACAAAACTTTTTTTTTAGTTTTTTTCATTGAAACATAAAAAACAGAATCACCAACTTTTTCTATTTGCTCAAGAAAAAAATTTTTAATAATTATATTGTTGTAATGTTTTTGACATACAGAGTAATCGTTCAAAGAATCAAGTAATGGTGATAATTTTGGAAGATACTTAACCAAACCCTTGGCTTTATTCTCAACTATAGGGGCATCCGCATGTCGCCACCTTTGTTTTTCAGGAGTTTCACATATTGCCAACTCACTTCCCAGGTAATCCCCAGCAATCTAAGCTAACTATTTACTAAATTTTTGGAAAGTTTCAAGATTGTAGCATCTCTTTATAAGCAGATATAGATATAAAAAAACTTTTGTCTAACACTATAATCTAATTATCTAATTAAAATATTAAAAAACTTACTGAAACTTGTGAGTATAAAGCCTCAAGCTCACTTAATTCAAAATTAAATATATTTATCATTTTGGTAATTTTTTTACTAAGTTTATAAATCTAGTAATTTAGTTTAAATATTAAATCATATTTTTAAATAAATAAAGAACATAATAGCCTTTTAATTAATTAAATCTTATAATTTGATATATTTGATAAGATATTAAAGTTTTTATGAAATTAAACAATCATTTTGGTTTGACTAAAAGATATATATTTAAAATATATTGTTTTAGTTATATAGTCTAAAATACTAAATTTGTATATATAGCTAAAACACAGATATCTGATTTAAAGAAACAAATAATAATTATAAGTAGTAATAAGATAAGAATATATTTTTTATTTTATTTTTTATTTTATTTTTATTTTTTTTCGGCATGTTCTGCCACTCTTTTATTTAAGATATAAATTAAGCAAAAATTACAAGAATTCTTAACTAAAG